GAGCGCAGCATCTAGCAGCACAACCACCGAGATCCCAACAAATAAGCCCAAGGATCCAGAATCTCCATCTCTGCCTCCGTCTCCATCCTTGCCCGCCCCTAAACCTTCGTCGACCACCGAGATTAGCACTACATCTGAGGCTCGAGGAACCCATCCAACGGCGCCCGGAGCCCCGACGGTTCCAAGCAACACTATCAGTACACCGAGCAGTCACGCGACGAATTCGGGAGTGGCCTCGGATGTCGTAACTTCTGGAGTGACGAGTACTACTCCAACTGCAGAACACAGTGTCACCGCAGGCTCTCCTACGGCAATAGGTAACCCTTCAGTAACGGTTACTTCAACTAGTAACACATCTGAAACCGAATCCGTACCCAATAACACCCACCCGGCCAGTGCCGAGGGAACAACAGCTACTGGGGGAACGGCGACCCCCATTCCCCCCGCCAGTGCCAACGCCACGTCCGTTGACGGCCCGGGAGCCACCGGAAACGCAACTCACATTGGTATCCCCCCAGAAACACCAGTGCCGGTCACTAGTATTCCAATTACGAGTATAGGTACACACATAGGGATAACTACCTCCAATACAACCACTACTACCGAGCCAGTCGCACCACCGGGTGGAACACCAGCTAAAGGCACCATCACCAGTGTCCCAGGGATGGTGTCCAATGTCACTAAACCCATTATCACCACCATACCAGCCATCCCCAGCGAACGCCCAGGGGGGTCTCCGGGTGCCGGAACAACCATCACCATTCCCACACCAGTCATAGGCCCCAGCGAACACCCAGAACCGCCTTCGGATAGCAAGGGAATCTTCATCCCCCTCCCCATCCCCACTCCGGAAAGTCCGGACTCAATCACCCCTCCCCTCCCCTCCCCTCTCGCCCCCCTCACCGAGGAAAAGACAACCGAGCCGCCAACAAATATAAAACCACCCTCCACCCTCATAACGACAACGACCTCGCAAGCTCTGACGCCCGCGACCGTGGTCATACCGCTAAAAACGAGCGGCGGTCTCCCGGCTACGATCCTGCCTACTGTCGGCTCCGGCCACGATCAACAGGGGAACCGGGTCCCGATCGTGGGGTTCCGGGATTATGCGGGGCAGCCGTTTGGTGGGAGCGGAGACATACCAGCAGAGGGGTTGGTGCCCGGCGTTGGGGGGAGGGTGAGCGTTAGGGGGTCCCTATGGGGGGCTGGTGTCGTGGTGGCTGTGGTTGCGGTGGTTGTGTAGTGTTATGTCGTGGAGGGTTTCCACTTTGATTTACTCGTTCATTCATTAATTAATTTATCTTTTCTCTGTCTTGTTCTAGGATGTGGTAATTCGAATGTAGTAATTGGGCTTGGGGTGGATTGACGGTGCTGTGCTGTGCTGTACTGTACTGTACTTTATACTGGTGTTACACTACGACTTATGATTGTTTCCTTTCAGTTAATTCTTTAATAATTATTATTATACTTGCATCCAAGCAAGCAACCAAGCGCAACTTAAAATTTATAAAGCATGGCAGCAGGATACTCGCCGTAGATCGAAGCGGAGATATCACACCCGCCGTGAGTCCCGTGTCCGTATGATCGGACTGCACAGTCGGAATAAACGCCTACAAAAAGTCATTCCATGCACTTACGCACGGAGAGGTCCGCGACGAGGACAAACCCGACGTAACCAATTTCGATTTTTTTTCTCCGGAAAAGAGGAAAAACAGAAATCGATATACACACGTTGATGGCACATTCTTTTCTAGCTAGCTACATACTCTCTCCAGCAATCCAGCTGAACAAGAACTGACAAGCAAACCAAGAAGGAAAAAAAAAAAAGAGGGAGGGGGGGGTAAACGAGAGCGATGAAGTACAGCATAAAAAATAAAAAAAATCAACCGCCAGACCAGACCTGTGGGCAGGATACCATTTTCGTCTTTAACATCCGGAACGTTACAAATTGAATAGGAAAATGTGATAAAAGCGAGAGACCACGGTTAAGCTTGATTTTAAGATCGACGGATATGGTAGAATAAAAGTAAATAGATATAATAGTAAATAACGAAGGAAAGAAGCAAAGATAATAAGGAAAAGAAAGGCTACGTGTCAAGAATCAATCGACGTATCGTAAGCCTTTCCAATAGATTGGAGGAATAAACAGAAAGGGAATAACAAGACAAGACCGATAAAGAACCTAACCCCAGTATAATGCCCTCGTTTGTAAGATTTAGGAAAGGAAGGAAGGAAAGCTCGTAGGTAGGTAGGGGGAAAAATACAGGTCGTGAGAGGTTGGCTGGAGTCAATGCGGAAGGCGAGACTGACTGGGGATTGCCACCAAACCGTGAACCGAGCCAACCAAACCAAGAACCAAAAACAAAAACAGAAATAACTCGATGGCCAAATAACAGGAAAACAAAGTAAACATCGAATTTGAAAGAAAAAAATAAAATAATGAGTCGAGATATCTAAATCCTCTCCCCATTAACCTCAACCTCAAACCCCTCCTTCTTCTGCTTGATAGCCTTAGCCAGCATAAGCTCCCGCATCCAGTCGATCCTCTCCTCCCTAGTTCCGACCGCAAAATAATGTACCTTCCCAACGGCATTCCTCCCGCCCTCGGGTGCAGCCGGTACCAACTGGAAAAAGTATGCACCAGTGCCTTCACCCGCACCACCACTAGTCTTCCTTCCAAATAGTCTAGCGCCCTTGAACGCGGCGGATAGCTTATGCGAAGCAGTATTCGAGCAGGAAACGGAGTAATTGTCCATCTCGATGAAGCCGTCCTCCTTCTCCATGTTCTTGGCGTATCCGAGGCGCGTGCCCTTCAGGACGAAGTGGTAGTCCGGCCACTCGTGGCGGAACCAGTTTGTTCGTCGCTTCTTCATCCACCCGCTGTGCATCCTCAAGGGGTTGGGCGAGGGCGCCATCTTGACTTCGTCCTCATCTATGGGCTCCCACTCGGCATTTTCGTCGACGACTGTCATGTGCAGTGGTTGTGGGCGGAAGTGTGAGGTGGAGGCGGTTGAGGGGCCACGGCGGGTGGGAAGTGGCAATGGTGTCGTGGGGAGCGAGGGGGTGCTGTGTTGGGCAAAGTCGGGGGTTGGGAAGCGGCGGAAGCGCATGTCCGGAGGCGCAGAGTTGGACATATTTCGTGGTACAGGGGTTGCGGAGGCGTAGGGTACGTCTGCCTCTGAGAATGGAGTTGTTGTGCGGAGGAGGTTGGATGGTGAGCGCATTCGGGAGATTGGGGAGGTAGCGTTGTTGATCGAGGGGGGTGCTGGTCGCTCCATACCCTGGGTGCGGAGGCCCAGTGAGGGGGTCTGGGAGCGGATCGGTGGGGAGGGGGTGGGTGTCGGGGGGTGGTGGAGGGCTGGTGCGAGGGGCACCAATACCGACTTTGCCGAGTGAGAGGAGGTAGGTGGCAGAAGAGAGTCGCTGCGGGGGGCAAGTGGTGGGCTAGGTGTGGCGGAGGGTGTAGGCGGCGTGTATGTCCCCCTTGCGCGTGCGAGGTGCTCTGCCGACTTTGTCGGGACCGGCGGTGGGGACTCCCTGCGCTCTTCGAGGTGCTGGAGGTGCTGGAGTGTCAGAAATTGTTTGACGTTCTCCAATGGATCCATGCGTGCCACATCCTTAAGTGTGTTCTCCTGAAGCTTGACTTCACGGCCATGAGTGGGGCCTAAGACGTCACTCGATGCGAGGACGCTGGCGGTAGCCACACTTCCCGGTCTCGTCGGTCTCTCGGAGCCGGAGTAGAGGGCAGAAATTCTGGGAGGGTTAGCATCCGCAATGCTTGGGGTTGTAGCGATGAGGATCGTCCCGTGCTCAAGGGATGAAGCCCTCTTCGGCTCGGATGGCTTTGATCCACTACCGTGCTTATGGCACTTGTCACCCTTACTGCACCTATGAGGCTTCTTATGATGCTTGTGCTCGCACTTCCCGTCGTGCTTCTTGCACCTGTGCTTTGTAGAAGGTTTGTGCGAGATCTCGTTCGGCAGAACCTCAACAACGCTCTTTCTCCTGCGACGAGCAGCGGGAGACTTTGCCCTGCGCGCACGAATGACTACGTGACCTTCAACATCATCGACGGAAGGCATGTACCTCAGAGAGGGTCTATATTGCTCAAACGCGCGTTCCGAGGACGCCGTCTCCGAATCGATCGATTCGACCGAGAACTGCTTCTTCGGTACACGCACATTGGTCTTCCTGCCACGCTTTCGCATCTGTCTAACGGGCCTTGATGCGTGCTCCTCATCGGATGACTCCTCACGTTCAGAAATCATCTGCTCCTTCCGGCGGTCGGATCGTGGGAGGAGGGTTGGGAGGTCTGGGAGGGCTTTGGCTCCGCCACCGGATCTCATGTTGCCAACCTCTCGAACCACCATTTGTGGGCCACGGGCGAACTTTGGCGATCGAGAGGTCTTTGAGCGAGTAGAGGAGTTTCGGGATACACGGGATGAGGCGCGGGGGAAGGATTCTTGGGCCATTGGTGGGGAGGTAGCGGTGCGAGCCCGGAGATGGTGGATCTCAGACCAGAGCTCGATACGCTTACCGAAAGAGTGGATATCCAACTGTCAAAAGAAGCCAAAGTCAGCCGGAAATTGAACCATTCTACCCTTCACTCTCAGTCCAACCGAGTGAAAATTTATGAGTATCATACCTCTTTCAAGTCCTCCCATTTCAAGTCTACGAGAATAGCACCGGAGATGTCGTTCTTTTCGAACTTCTCCACGAGTTCCCTCTCAAAGCCCAGAGCAGTCATCCAAGCGCAAACCTGTTTGGGACTCCAGCTCTTGACCTCATCGATCTCATAGTCGCTGACAACAGCTGACAACTCGCTCATCGGGCGGACCTGTGGCGCCTCTGCACAGTGAGGTGACTGCGGAGGAGCCGGGAAGTGAGATGGGGAAACAGCTGGAGGAGGCGAAGCAGGAGACGCAGATGCGGACGGGGTTGGCGGCATGACGATACCCGAGTGAGGGATTGTGATGTGGGCAATTGAAGTAGTGTGGGAGGTGGAGTAGGAGCGGAATAGATGAGGACCCTTTGGTCCGATGGTTGATACACTATCCCTCTGGTAAGTGGGGGAAGGCTCTACAGAGTACCTCCGGAACAACTCCGGGCTCTTCTCATCCGAGGACTCGATCACGGGGAACCCATGAGCAGAGTATTCCGGTGCGGGCGATTTTGGCGTTCTAGGCTCGTCGTATGATGACAGCGAGGTGAAGGTACGCTCGCCATCCGTGCTCGCCCGGCCTTCAATGGACGAGTCGCTATCGCTAAGCATCTCGTTCATCCTCTGAGCCCGCGAGCTCAACGACCTGATGCTCTCGGCATCCGAGTGATCCAGATCCTCCAGTCCATCCTCCGGTGCCTCCATCACCACCTCCTCCATCACCCTTCCGCCCCATCCATTCACCGGCCTCCTCCTGTGGCTATTATCCTCGAAATCCGCCGACGAGTCGATCGATGTTGCTGTGCTAATCGGCCTCATTGAGCTCGACAGACGAGAGGCGAGCATTGTGTGTTGGAAGTACTGAGACGGCTGAGAAGCGACCGACGCGGACTACAATATTTACGCAAAAAAAGAAAGAACTGTCAGCCACCGAGGCAAAACTCAGGAGAAAAATGAAAACTCCACCCGCCCTCCAAATCACTAATGAATCTCTCACCATAGCTACCGCTGTGTATCCGTCAATTCTTTTTTTACAAAAACGCTCCCAAGAATTTTCCCTGCCGTATTCGCGCGTGTATGCAGTATAGCTTATACCGATGCCAGTCTGACTGCTTTGCTGCGTCTATTGCAGTGGTGTGTGGATAAGCGAAGGTATTTTTGTATATCAACCCAAATGTATCAAAAAAAAAGCTGTACGACTCTCCAAACGAGTTTTTTTTTTTTTTCCTTGCCTTGCTCGATGGTTGGTTGTCTCTGGAAAATGGGAACCGTTCCCGAGTTGGTGATGATGTCGTAAGGTTGGATGAGCGAGGAGGGAGATTGGGTTTGTGGAAAATGAAAAGCGAAATCCAAAGAAAGAGAAAGAGAAAAAACTCAAAAACGAAAATGCTATGATGATGATGACGATGAAAATGCAGGAAAACGTTAGACACAGAAAAGAAATCGTAAGCACACTTTGAACGATAGATACAGGGTAGAGTGAGGAAGGGAGGGAGAGGAAGGGAGAGGAAGTGGAGGGAGGGAAACGGAGCAGAAGTAAGCAAGGAAGGGGGGGGTGCAAGAGCAGACGGGGGAGAGCAGCGGGGACAGATCACTTAAGTAACTGCTACACTACTGCAAGCGCTGAGGTGGGTGGTTGGCCTCTCCGTGGGCTGCTTAAGAGCAGGCTAGTGCAGTGGAAATGGTCGATGATTGCGGATCTCTGGCGTTACCCTCGCCGAGGGGTGGTGGGGGAGAGGGTAGGAGAAAAGGAAAAAGAAAACCACACCACACAACTGCAGGACAGGCAGAGGGCGAACAAAGAGGGATGGTTTGATTCACCCTTCAAGCGAGCGAGTACCGTAACGGTGTGGCAGAATTACCTAGTTTTGGGGTTATTGTCTGTTGCATTCCCTACCGCCCTTGTCTTCCCTTTTTATTTTTATTCTGTCTCCCACAGGAAATTCTGATCCTTACTCTTATTTCAATTCTCTCAATCTCAATCACCTTGCAGAGAGGCATGCCGAAACGAGCCCCAAATCAGCTGGTTGGTGGTTGCCACGGTCTTCTGCAATACCGTACCGGCATCTGGAGGGATCCCGTGAAAAACCGTAGGGTAAGGCAGAGGGAATGGGGGTGAAAATACCGGAGAGCAGGGGAAGGGAGGGAAGTCGAAAGGAAAAAGGAAAAAAATGCAAAGGATGCGGAAAGGGGGAGGGGGGGGGCATCACCGAAAGTGAAAAACATCTGTACCTGCAACAGACTACTCGTACACCCTCCCCTCCCCTCCATCCATCCCTCCATCTCCACTCCAGCCAACAGCGAACGACTGTTGTCCCCTTCACTTTCCACCTTTCCCTGGAGAGCAGGCACCGCCGTACTCACTCGCCCACTCGCTCCCCTCCTACCTTAACATGTTCCGGGATGGGGGGTGAAGCGCTCTCGCATGCTCGAGTCTCACAGCTTGGTGAAGGTTCCTAGGCGCCCGCATGGGTCGACTGTCGATTCTGAAGTCCTGGTTGGCTGAATCGCTGTTATTGGGCATGATGGTGGGGTGGGAAATGCACCAATTGGATGTCGAACCGCAACTCGTCGCCCTAAATAGCACATCGCCAAGCCCTGAGCGAAATATCGTGATCCTCCCTCAGGATGACAGATGATTTACCACCAGAAATCTTCGGCCCGAGAACTACCTCCCGGAGCCTAGTGGCTGGTTTGGTTTGGTCTGGTCTACAGCGTCACGGAATTCTGTACTAGTACTCGTACAGTGCTCGAGTATTGATCACATTGCTCTAACTAGCCCTCCGTTGGGTATGTCATAGCCCTTGGTCGCTCCGATAGAGCGGGTTGGTAGCGGTAAAATTGGAGCAGACAAATTAAAGCGAGTGATGAAAGTTGCAAGGGACAAGAGGGCGGCAGACTAGGAAGAGTACGATATTGGTTTCCCGCGAGCGCGCTACTTGCACCATATCGATGATAAAAAAATGCCATGTACCCGAGTACAAGTACTGGTACAAGTGCTGGTATAGGTACCTAACCAAAGCACGGTACCGGTACTTGAATACGGTACCCGCATCATTCGTAGGGTACATTAGCCGAAGGAGTAAGGAAAATGCCTTTAACCCATCCTGTATCTCCAACCCATTTCCCCCTACTACAGTATCAGTTCGGTGTCCTAGAGCACCTTGCGGTGGAAGTGCAGCTAGCAGGAGGCGGGTACAGTGTAACATCTAACGGTCAGCGTTCTGCGGCAGGAAACCTCCAGAGTTCTTCCCCTCCCTCTCCTCCGACGGCAACACTACGTACTGCGTCCTAGCCGTGGCTTTTCCGCTAATGATTACAAGGAGCCCTGGCCTTCAATTCCTGGTTCATTTTGCGTAATGTGCGCACGGTCACAATGCACAAGACATTGAGCGGATCACCATCTACGGCACCTCCATGCCCTCCTCGAATCTGCCGTGCTGCGCGGTGAGGCACAGATACTGTATGATGGATGGATAAGTTTTCCAGTATGGCATTGTAGCAGAGATTTGGCCTTGTTCATCACCATCCACACAACCGGTTTGTTAGAAGCGAAACGAGCCTTGACCATTCAGCGCCGTGATGGTCTAGCGATCCCCGCCGTTGCAAAGCTTCATCCGCTTTCTACCCCGCCGCATTTCTCGACTACCGGCAACGTTGATCCGATTGATGCCCATGGTGATTCCGCCCATCACTATCACCTACCCTCCACCCCAAGCTTGCCTACATTCCCCGGCAGCTCGCTGCGGTTTCGAAGAAAGAAAAAAAATGTAAGGCGAGTGATCGGGATGGCATCCCAGACGCACTACGAAGGTACGATCGTACAGGACTCCTAGAGCGCTGTGCAGCGAGTATTTAATAGCACCAGCATATCCTACAGTACTGTACTCGTGCCTGCCCATTAAATTATCGTCCTTCGCAAGCATGGTAAGGTTAGTCCATCACTCCCCCCATCAACCGTACCTGCGCCGACATTGCAAGTGGGCATTATTCCCGCGATACCCAACACCACATTGAACAAAATCTGGCATGAGGCGAGCAGATTCAAGCAAAAGTCAATCAATGCAAGAACCGGAGATATTGCCCCCCCCCGCATTGTCTAACAATTCCTTCCCTCCCCCCCTTCCCGTTGCGTAGCGTCCTCGGCCATGACGACGATGATGAAAAATAGATTCCGGCACAATCTTGTACCTACCGCATTGACCACGGACGAACCTGGGGGTGAGTGACGGTCCTACCCTACCGGTATGATACGATATATACCCGGGAGGCCAACACCCGCGTAGGACATGAAAATCCATGAAGCAGGGAACCAAAGACACGAGGGGGATGCTGTACGAGTACTGCATGTCCCACACAATGCAGGAAACCCACATATACCACAAGAGAGGTGAGGACTATAATCTCGCAGCCCGACCAAGAAACCGTTGATCCAAATTTCGCACCCGCATCACGTCCTAGTTTTTTTAAGCCTTTTTTTCCCTATTTTTTCTTATCCCAGTTTGGTTTTCATTCCCCATTTCAAGACTCTCGAGACTTTGGACTTGTTACAGGTACAGCACCGTACTACTTACTGTACTAGGGCCGCACTGCACTGTACGGTACGATACTGCTCCAGCCCAACCATCCCAATCCGAATTTCCCCCAGAAGCAGGTTTCCATTCCCCATGCCGCCCACGTGCCTATACACTTTTGGCTCCTCTATTCCGCAAGAACCCATAACGGCAGGAGCATGTATGAATGCTCCGGTAGTAACGGTATCGGTACTGCACCGTTGGTTGGTCAACCCAACGCTTAGGGCCTCCCACCACCCGCTCTCGATCCTCGAATCCCAGCTCCAAAATCCAAAGGATAAAGTATCCCCAGTCCACGAGAAGCGTGGGCGGATACAGTACAAGGAAACCCGCATTCGGTTCTCCAGCAAGAAACCTGCAATTCGCCGCAATCGGTCGACACCGGTAAATAAGTCCATCATGAAAATCTCACGCTCCACGAAATGTGAGATTTTCAGAGAGAAAGGAAAAATGGTGATTAAAATCTGGAAACTGATATGAGGAATCCCACTGTTTGGATGTCTTTTTTTATTTTTTATTTTTTTTTACTTTATTTTTTTATACGGTTACAATTATTGTGGCCATAGTTGTTATAATTCATAATGCCGGTATGATATCAATAATTTACGCCTGACTTGAAAAAAAAAAAAATCCCTACGCCAACCTCAACCCGCATCCTACGGGGCCTCACAAATCCGGATCGGGACGAATATTTTATCTATTTATCACATTCAGCTCATCCCAGCATCCGACCTGCACCAGATACCGTAGCCAGAATCGAGTCCGGAATCAGAACCGGGCGGATAGACGAGAGCTGAAATGGAGTGGATAAAATAATATAATAGATTACCGTGCGAGCACCGGGGTACGGTACGGGAAATAAAGTACAAGTGCCGCAGGGACTTGTTCCTTGGACCAAGCCCGGACCGCGCCACGCCCCTCCTCCTCCTCGCACGCGGGATAGTCTTTGTAGCCCCCCGCTTTTTTTTCATTCTTGAATGGCCGTTTTTGAGAAAAAAAAATGAAAGAAAGAGAGAAAAAGAAATGAAAGATACAGTGTAAGATGCCAACATCTAGCATGGCTCTGCGGGAGAGAGAGTGTTTACTGGTCAGAAAAGATGTGCTGTATCCGAGGTGGTATTGTACTTGTACTATCGTGGTATCATAACCGCGGGCCACGTGAGGGGTAAGTAATTCGTGATGGCCCACGGTGGGAAGGCAATTAGGAAGCAGGGGAAGAGGCGAGCGGGTGTGCGGGCAGGGAAGAACGTACCAAGCTCAAATTGCTCTACGGTAATGGTGTAGGTACCCGTATGTGAATGGATGGGGGGAAAGCTGCTCGTGCTAGTACAGTACGAGTACAGTATCGTACCGCTACGGTGCGTAGACGGTCACAGTATTGATGATATCCGGGGGATCTTCATTTCGCCCTCTGCTGAATCCTTTCCGACATTTTTTTTTACCACCGTCCTTCAGGTATCACAGTTTCTTCTTGCCCGTTTGCCAGTCGGCCTTCTCCCCTTCCACCCACACCCTCCTCCACTGCAGGCACTTCTCGCTTCAATCACCCCACCCACAGTACCGCGCAGGTGCATGCTCGACCAACCGACCCGCCTCCCCCCCCCCACCTCATCGACCTCCCTCCCCTTGCCCGGAGTCCGAACAATCTGATTCGCGAAACTTAAGCATACCTTACCGAATCCCCCCCCTCACCCTGGATCACCGCCGGTAAGTTAATTGCACGCCTCCGACCGAATAAGAAACGCTAACCGAAAACA